TCAACCCATTCTTCTATAAGTCTCAAAATGCAAAATTTGAATATGAATTTGATACCTATTTTTGCTTTCCACATAACAAATACATAATCTTGTTATGAAGATTCAGTAGTGCTCATTTAAGGCAAGGCTGCTTCTGAAATTCTATATAAATAGATTTTTAAATACAAGCTTATAAGGAAGGCTGAGATTAGAGCAATTTGCAAAAGGCAGTCATTTAATTCACTTTTTATTACGAAATATTTGAGACATACAAATAGCTTAAAGAGCTTGTTTACTCTGTTGTAAACTTTTGTGGCTTCTAAGATAAAAATCTGGGCTAGTAAAAAAGACTTTGTTTCTAGATAGAACAGCAAAGTTGCAAATTAAGGGTTTTGCATAATTTTCTTTCTTTCTGTATAGTGTATAAGACTAGCATTTCTATGGTTTACAGATAAACCAGATCTCCCTTACTGAAAAGAGAGATGTTGTCCCCATCCTAATTTAAAAAAAAAATCAACTAAGATCTAATAGGAAAAGATGCTTACAGGAAGACTGCTAATGGAAAACTTTTATTTTTAATTTTATTTTTATTTCATTTTTAAAGTTTTGTTTATTTTATTTACTTGAATGGAAGACAACTGCATTGAAAAATAAAAAGCAAGCATCATTAAGCTACTTAATTCTGGCCTCTCCAAATCTTATCGTGGTGTCATTTGCTAGCCAGGTGACCATGAATAAGTTATTTAACCTCTCTGTGCCTCAGTTTCCTGATCTATTTGGGGAGGATAGGATCCATCGGTTAGGGATCCTACATGTGAAGCACTTAGAACAATGCCTGGCACACAGTAAACTCTCTATCAATGGTAACTAACTTTCTTCTTCACCCTCAACTAGAATGTCAGCTCCACATGAGGGCAGCAATTTTGTCTTATTTAGTTCTGTATCCCCAGCATCTATTTTGTTCATAGTAGGCACTGAATAAATATCTCTTGAACAAATTGATTAATGAAAAATAACTGGGCTTTGAGATTGAAAGTCAAAGAAAAATTTTCCTAAGTTTTATAGCTAGTGAGGGAAGAATAGGCAGCAGTTTAGTCAGGGAGGTGGAAGAAAACCCTAAACTAAGATGCAAAGCCTGATTGAAGTTCAGATTTTTCCAACTCTCTGGGTATTACAACTAGAATTTTCTTTCTCAATTTCCTATTTCTTGTTCTTCTTATTTTTTGAGATAGGGTCTCATTCTGTCACCCAGGCTGGAATGCAGTGGCACAATCACAGCTTACTGCAGCCTTTGTCTCCTGGCTCAAGTGATCCTCCCACCTCAGCCTCCTAAGTAGCTAGGACTACAGGTACGTGCCACCACACCCAACTAATTTTTAAAATTTTTGTAGACAATGGTCCTCACTTTGTTGCCCAGGCTGGTCTCACACTCTTGGCCTCAAGTGATCCCCTGGCCTCAGCCTCTCAAGTGTTGGGATTACAGACGTGAGCCACCATGCCTGGCCTCTTTCTTAATTTGCAAAATGGGAATGACAGCTCCCAAGGTCATTCTGAGGATTAAATTACAGTGTATGTGAAAGCTCATAATAAACTGTAAAGGAATATACAAAAACATGATATTGTTAATTTCTATCTCAGTAAGTTTTTCCATTGGATGACAATAAAGGGATTCTTTGAGAGTGTTGGAAAAAGGAATCTTTAGCTAAAGATTTCAGCACTAAAAATATTCAACCCCAGAGGTACCACAGACATAGTCTAATTTTTTCCATCTGTGCAGTTTAGGGTAGATTTGGCATATGCTCAATACCAGGCAAGAAAGAAACTATGGTTTAGGCTGCTTTTAAAGTTTTTTTAAAAAAAGGCAGAAAAGGAAACTATTTCCTTTTATAAGCAGGAATGTTAAAATAGGGAAAGCTTTCATCGAGCAATTCACTACTGAATCAAGACTACTTGATCCATATTCTCACCTACTTCCCCTCACTCCCTATTTGCGTTGTGGTTAGGTAATTGTAATCTAGATTATGGCTTGTATATCATGGTCACTTCCTCACTAAAGGAAAATAATATAGATTATTTGTAAGCAGCTGCATGTGACTCAGAGGTCAAAAGAGTGTTCTTTTCAGGGCATTCTCTCTAAATTACTAATATTTAAGGACCTGTTTTTCAGAGTCATTGATTATTTAAAAATTATGGCTTTAAGATTAGGCTCCACCCTAGATGCCTCCTCAGAGGCTAAGTTTGAGGTTGAGAAACTAGCTTAAGGAGAAAGTTAAAGTAGCAGATATGTCACGGCGGGTGAGCTGATGACTCACTGCCCCTTCCTTGAACTGCAGGAACGACAAAATGGAAAAGGGGGAATAAAAGGCAATGCCCCACTATAGACTAGAGGCTCCATGGAACCCAAGAAATTCCAAGAACTTGAAGAACCACATGGGTTCTTAGAGTAAAGGCAGTAAACTTAATTGCCACAGTCAAGTTGTCAAGTGCATCAAAGAAAGGACATAAGAAAGCTAAACTTGATTATACTTTACCATCAGACTCAATCTGATCATTTTATTCTCCTCCTTAAAAACTTCAATAACTCAGCTGGCTGTGGTGGCTCACGCTCGTAATTCCAACACTTTGGGAGGTCGAGGTGGGAGGATCACGAGGTCAGGAGTTTGAGACCAGCCTGGCCAATATACTGAAACTCCCATCTCTACTAAAAATACAAAAATTAGCCAGGCATGGTTGCACACACCTGTAGTCTCAGCTAGTCGGGAGACTGAGGCAGGATTTAGGATACACCTTCTACCCCTCGTATAATTCCTAGGCCAAGAAGATCCATCTATGCTTTGGTCCTCTTTTCATATTTGATTCAATTCAACAAACCTGTGTTATTCTCCAATAGTGTGATGACATGCTCACACTTGCCTTCAGGGAGTACACAGTAAATTGAGGAAAGGATAGTAAACAATGAGTCCATCTAATTCATCAGGTTAAGTGATTTAACAAAGGAGTGGTGGTGCATGCCTGTAATCCCAGCTACTCAGGAGGCTGAGGCAGGAGAATCGCTTGAACCCAGGAGGCAGAGGTTGCAGCGAGCTGAGATGGTGCCACTGCACTCCAGCCTGGCAACAAGAGCAGACTCTGTCTCAAAAACAAAAAAACAAAAAACAGTGTTGGCTTCACACTCATTCCTATAATCCCAACACTCTGGGAGGTCAAGGTGGTGGATCAGTTGAGGCCAAGAGTTCAAGACCAGGTTGGCCAACATGGCAAAACCCCTTCTACTAAAACTACAGAAATTGGCCAGGCATGGTGGTGCGGGCCTGTAGTCCCAGCTACTTGGGGGTGCTGAGGCATGGGAATTGCTTGAACCCAGGAGGCAGAAGTTGCAATGAGCCAAGATCACATCACTGCATGCCAGCCTGGGTGACAGAGTGAGACCCTGTCTCAAAAACAAAACAAAAACAAACAAACAAACAAAACCCCCCACAAACCAGTGTCATTTAGTCAGGTGTGGTGCAGGCCTGTGGTCCTAGCTACAGGGGAGGCTGAGGCAGGAGGATCGCTTGAGTCCGGGACTTTGAGGCTTTAGTAAGCTATGAACATACCACTGCACTCCAGCCTGGGCAACAAAGCGAGACCCTGCCTCTAAAGCAAAAAAACCAAAAACCAAAACCACGCTAGTGTCATGAATATATTTCTTTAGATAAAACTTCATTAATCAGTTTTCTGTTTAGAATTGGCTTTCCCATAACCCAGTTAGCCAAAGGTAGCTGAGTAATTTGAAATATTCCCCAGCTGGAACAGAATCGCATTTGGGGCTTGCTTCAATCAGTGCACCTCTGTCTTGCTTTTGCTCTTCAAAGGGACCCTCAGTCAACCATAGCCTTTGAAGGCATGAGCTGAACGGAAACCAGATGGCTCTATTGAATTTTAAACTTGCCACAAGTTAACCAAATAAGTATATATATATATTTTTTTCTCTTATAGATTATGCCCAGAAAGAACTTGAGGTTGAGGTTAAAACACACACACACACCCACACCCACCACCACCAAAAAACCAAATCCCCAAACAAATTATTCCATACCCATTCCACTGGTTCTTTTGATGGCCTTCTGTCAGTGTTAATGGTTAGTGTGAAAGATTTTTGGAAAAGTTTTCCAGGTGGGAGTAACAGCATTTCCTGAAGCACCTTTTATCTTGATTTGTGGTAAATTTCTCTTTCAATGCCCTCAGGTCACTTATACCCTAAGACCCTGCATGAGTTTATTCAACCTTCAAGTCACTCACTTCTGCCCTCATCTAGGGCATATAACAATGTAGTTACTTACCCAGCAGGTAGCCTGGCTAAGTAAGACCATAAATAATTCATCTCAGCAAGAGCTTTTGGAGTTAGTCTTCTGTCTGAGCATCTCTGACTGATTATGCTACCTTAAACAAGTTACTTAACTTCTGTTTCATCTGATTTACCAGTTTCAAAAAAAAAAAAAAAGAAGAAGAAGAAGAATGGTACCTACCTCATAGGTTTATTGTGTGGAGTGAATTAAAGGTCTAAAGCACTTAGAACAGCATCTGGCATATGGCATATACCTCACTAGCTGGGACTACAGGTGTGTACTACCACACCTGGCTAATTTTATTTTGTGGAGACAGGTTCCTATTATGTTTCCTTGGCTGGTCTCAAACTCCTGGGCTCAAGCGATCCTCTCTCCTTGACCTCCCAAACTGTTGGGATTACAGGCATGAGCCACCACGCCTGGCAAACACTTTTTTTTTAAGGGGTAGACATAAATATTCTTTAAATCCTTTTAAGCAAGAGCTTGAATTCTAGAATTTTAGAGCTCAAAAGGCTCTCAGGAGTCCATTTACTCAAACCCTGCCTCCAGCTGCATTATACTATAATCACTATATGCTGATAATTTTCTGATCTATTTTAAAGATGTTTAAGAATGGAGATCTCACAGGATCCTTTTAGATTAAGTGCCTCTTTGGAGGGTTCAGTATTCAATAAACATTAGCCTTATATTCTGTACTTTAAGTACTATTTCTCTATATTTTTACATGTAAGTGGGTATAATAAAAAATTAAAGGAAGAATGGTCATTTTTAGAACAAATCTTATTTACAAAAGCACAAGTCAGTCTGCTTTGGTATTGACAAAATCCCTACAACTGAGATATTAAAGAGATACATTTATTTTAGCTTTACATAAAACCAGAATCCAACACTATCCCGTTTTCCTGTTCCTGTGTGGCTCTGAGTGCAGCTTTAAAAAAAAAAACAAAACAAAGCAAAGCAAAGCAAACCAACTCCTTATAATGTACAATGGCTTAAGCAAAGCGCTTCTTCAGTTTTTTTCTATTTACAAATTAGGACAGACTACTTTTCTAAAATTTGCTATTTACAGAGAAAGCCCTAGGGAACAGGATAACTTATTTAGGTTTAGCTCTCATAATACAATATCCATAATGGCTTCAGAAGAATGTAAATAAATAACATTGGTAAACAATATATATTGGTATTTTCTGACAAACTCATTTATCTAACATCATGCTGAGCAATCAAGAGGATTCCTCCATATATTTTAATTTTAATTTATTCTATTTGCTGATTCACAAACTCTTGCTCCATATTAAAGCAGTTATCACCAATAGAACCTATGAGAACGAGTGCCCATGGAAACCTAACAGCTTGTTTTCCTAATCCTCTATTAAAATTCGGTTGAGCTTGATATATGCATGGCTGAATACTAGGCCTTTATTCAGGAATGTAAAATTAATGGTATCTGGTATCAAGTTGTAAGAAAAACTCCCCCAGATTGGGAGGTAACTGAGTGATATGTGAAAGAATCTTCTCCTGTCTGAATTGAAGAATACACCTACACAGGGCAGAAGAAGGTAGGGGAGAGGAAGTAGAAATAGAAGAAAAGCACAATGCCACTGGCTTCAAACTGAGGTAATTAATTAGAGACATCAAATAAATACATCAACAAATGCCCCATTTTTGTTTTCTAAAAAAGATCACTGGGAAACTAACAATTTTAAAGTTGATCCATTAATACATTTTTAAATAGAAAAAAGTTTGTATATTATAATATCATAATTCCATTCATCTAATACACTCCTCTGCTGAGATATTTAACACATCTTCATCTGTACTCTCTTCTATCTCTGGCAAGTTGCCCCAAAGGAGGACATTTACACCTGAAAATAAAAAGTCACAAAATTCTTTAATGCTCACTACTGTTATAACTCAGAACATGAATTATAAAACTTTATCTGTTCATATTCTTATATAAACCATAGTGTTAGCAGGAATAAGTACAGCCATTAAAGAATGAGCTGCAAATAAAATTATCTAATATTATCCATCTGGGACATAAACTTTATTTATTTTTTTGAGACAAGTTCTCTCTGTGTTGCCTAGGCTGGAGTGCCTGGCAGGATTACGGCTCACAATCACTGCTCACTGCAGCCTCAACCTCTAGGGCTCAAGTGATCCTCGTACCTCAGCCTAAGTAGCTGGGACTACAGGTGTGTACTACCACACCTGGCTAATTTTATTCTGTAGAGACAGTTCCTACTTTGTTGCTTAGGCTGGTGTCAAACTCCTGGGCTCAAGCGATCCTCTTTCCTTGACCTCCCAAACTGTTGGGATTACAGGCATGAGCCACCATGCCTGGCAAACACTTTTTTTTAAGGGGTAGGATATAAACATTCTTTAAATCCTTTTAAGCAAGAGCTTGAATTCTGGAATTTTAGAGCTCAAAAGGCTCTCAGGAGTCCATTTACTCAAACCCTGCCTCCAGCTGCATTGTACTATAATCACTATACACTGATAATTTTCTGATCTATTTTAATGATGTTTAAGAATGGAGATCTCACAGGATCCTTTTAGATTACGTGCCTCTTTGGAGGGTTCAGGGAAAAGTCCTGAATAAGTCCCCTTATCCCTTCAATAAACAGAGAAGTAGCTGGTGCCATTTTTCTGATTCAGAAAAAAAGCAAGGGTTTGGAGCCAGTTATAATATGAACTGTAATCCTTGATACCAGTGGGTTTCAGTCCAAAAGCAGAGCTGTAAACTAAGTTTAGGACCAGGTTGCAGCAGCCACTACAATAAACAAAAGAAAAATCAAAAGCTTCACTGAGAAAGAATAGTCAGATTTCATACTGAAGAATGCAGCACGGATATACAGTAAACGATTAAACATACAGTAGAGAATAATGACAAGGTTTATTATTCTGGGTATATATTATATTATAACTTAAAAGCACTAAATAGAAAATAACTGACCACTAGAATAGTCAATTAACTTCACAAGAAAAGCAAAAAAATTTTTTTTGAGATGGAGTCTTGCTCTGTTGCCCAGGCTGGAGTGCAGTGGTGTAATCTTGGCTCACTGAAACCTCTGCCTCCTGGGTTCAAGGGATACTCCTGCCTCAGCCTCCCAAGTAGCTGGGACTAAAGGTAAGTGCTACCATGCCCAGCTAATTTTTGTATTTTTAGTAGAGACGGGTTTCAGCATGTTGGCCAGAGTGGTCTTGAACTCCTGACCTCAGGTGGTTCCCCTGCCTTGGCCTCCCAAAGTGCTGGGATTACAGACATGAGCCACCATGCTTGGCCAGAAAAGCAGATCTTAAGCTGTCCAGTTATCAGCGTAGACACAAAGAGTACTCAGCAATTCTGGATACCCACTCCACACACACTGAGATAGAAGCCGCATGGTGGAATGGAATGAGCAAGGATTTGGAGATTGGGTTTGAATCTAGTGTTCACAACTGCCAGTATACCATGCATGGTTTTACTACAAATGCATGCAACCACAGACAATATATATTACTGTTTTGTGGATTTAAATTTTTTATAGAATGTTATACTACATGTTTTTTTTCTAATTTGCTTTTTCACACATTATGTTTTTGAGGTTAATCTATGTTGACTTGTGTAGATTTTGCTCATTTATTTTTACTTCTAGAGAGTATTCCATTTTGTGAATTTTTTAAAATGTTGCAAATACAGCTCATTGCTCATTCCTTCCTTAGCTGCCCATCTTGCATAGGTAGCCCAAGGAGACATGCCCAGGGATTTGTAGTGTGACATTGTTGAAATAGTAGAAATAATCAACTGTTTTCCTTGACTGAAGGAGATACTGGAATCTAAGCTGGCAAGAAGTTAGCATGTATTTGATGCTGGTAGGGATACAGATGTCTATCTTATTATTTTTTATAATCTTTTTGTATCTGATTTGTTTATAATAAAAAATGCTACCCTACTCCCACCCCAAGAATGAATGGTGTTCTGCTCCTGGTAAATGTCATGGAAGAGCTGACAGGAAGAGTTGTAAGGAATTGCGAGGCCAAAATCTAAGTAAAAATTAGAACCCATAAAGGTAAATAGAGGGCTGAAGCCATGTTGCCTCTGAGGGGATTTGCCAATTTCAGGAAATCTGAGCTGAGGTTTCCCAAGCCTCCTCAAGAAAGTTCTGGGAAATCAGGTCTCTATGTGAAGACTAGATGTCTAGAAAACAGACCTCCAGGAGTCTTTTTCAGTCTAAACATTCTAGAATTTGTAAAGCTTGTCTATGCATTCCTTTGACATTACTGGTTCAGGTGATTCAAGGATAGTTGTGACACCATTAGAAACCTGCTTTGATACCAAACATCTAGAAAATCTTGCTTGAAATCACAATATTAAGGTTACAAAGCAGAAGCTTGATATTCTTGGAGTCGGTATTCAGAGACATGAAGCAGCTCAGCACAATTGGTTCAAAGGAGGAAAAATAAACTAAGAGATTGGATCTGACAGAAGCAGCACCTTCCTTTCTCTGTTAAGAAGGGAGGAAGGAAATCCTGTGATACATCTGTTTCTTATGGATTAGATTCAGTGCAAATGGAAGAACACTGGGCTTTTATCTTTGAAAAATTGACCAATATTAAAAAGTAAATCAAACTTGAAAAATCTCCACCCTGTGTTTTGAATTCTGTAAAGCAGGAAAAATACTATCAAAGCAGAAACTTCCTTTAATGTGTCCCATGGGTAACACAAATATAAAAGTGGAGGCTTAAATTAGGAGACTGTATCCCACTTAGGGGAGTTCAGATAAGTCCTTATATGAAAATAGCCTTCTTAACATACCAAAAGTTTTGAATTAAGACCCCATAAATGATAGATTGAGAGCCACAGCTGAATCCCAGGTGATTTAAAAAAAAATCAAATCTGTAAAAATCTAAGCATAATTGGAGCATTTAAAGACCCCTGACAACCTAGCTTGCAATTCATGATCTTTTGGTCTGTGAAGGCAAATCATATATTAAAAAATATATTTAAGTTCTAAAGGAGACTAAAACATGCATTTTGGAACCTAAGAATGCTAGTGTAACTTACATTGTTGAGTTCCTTAAACTCGGCTGGTTTGGTGTCTCAGGCCTGTAATCCCAACCCTTTGGGAGGCTAAGGTTGGTCAGTCACTTGAGGCCAGGAGTTTGAGACCAGCCTAGGCAAAATGGCAAAAAACCTGTCTCTACGAAAAATAAAAAACATTAGCCTGGCCGGGCGCGGTGGCTCAAGCCTGTAATCCTAGCACTTTGGGAGGCCGAGGCGGGTGGATCACGAGGTCAAGAGATCGAGACCGTCCTGGTCAACATGGTGAAACCCCGTCTCTACTAAAAATACAAAAAAAATTGGCTGGGCATGGTGGTGCGTGCCTGTAATCCCAGCTACTCAGGAGGCTGAGGCAGGAGAATTGCCTGAACCCAGGAGGCGGAGGTTGCAGTGAGCCGAGATCGCGCCATTGCACTCCAGCCTGGGTAATAAGAGCGAAACTCCGTCTAAAAAAAAAAAAAAAAAAAAAAACATTAGCCTGGCATGCTGGCACAGGCCTGTGGTCCCACCTATTCAGAAGGCTGAAGTGCGAGAATCCCTTGAGCCTGGGAGGTTGAGGCTGCAGTGAACTGAGATTGTGCCACCGCACTTCAGCCTAGGTGACAGAGCGAGACCCTGTCTCCAAAAGAAAAAAGAAAAGTTCCTTAAAATCAACTTGGTCTGTTGTGTAAATAGATGTTAGACATTGAGAACATGTGTCTTATAACAAAACTGAATGGCTCCAGGCAATATAAAAAATATTATATAAATCCCCTTTAAGAATTGGTACTTCGGCTGGTGTGGTGGCTCACACCTGTAATCCCAGAACTTTGGGAGACTGAGGAGGGTGGATCACCAGAGGCCAGGAGTTCGAGACCAGACTGGCCAACAAGTCAAAACCTTTTCTTTACTAAAAATACAAAAATTAGCCAGGCATGGTGGTGTGTGCCTGTAATCACAGCTACTCAGAAGGCTGAGGCAGGAGAATCACTTGAACCAGGGAGGTGGAGGTCATAGTGAGCCGAGATCGTGCCAATGCACTCCAGCCTTTGGAGACAGAGTGAGACTCCATCTCAAAAAAAAAAAAAAGAATTGGTACTTGAGGCCAGGCACGGTGGCTTACACCTGTAATCCCAGCACTGTAAGACCAGTTTGACCAACTGACCAACATGGTGAAACCTCATCCCTACTAAAAATACAAAAAAATTAGCCGGGCATGATGGCGCATGCCTTTAATCCCAGCTACTAGGGAGGCTGAGGCACGAGAATTGCTTGAACCCGGGAGGCGGAGGTTGCAGTGAGCCAAGATCACACCATTGCACTCTAGCCTGGGCAACAAAACTTTGCTTCAAAACAAACAAACAAAAAAAAAATTAGTACTTAGTATTCAGCACCTTAGCACCTTAACACAAAGTGAACAAAGAAAAAAGAATTGGTAGTGTATTTTCTTAGTAAAGTAATTTTTTGAGATAGGGTCTCACTTTGTTGCCCAGGCTGGAGTAAAGTGGTGCCATCTTGGCTCACTGCAACCTCCACCTCCTGGGTTCAAGCAGGGTTTAACCATACTGGCTAGGCTGGTCTCGAACTCCTGACTTCAGGTGATTGTCTGCCTTGGCCTCCCAAAGTGTGGAATTACAGGCATAAGCCACTGTGCCTGGCCTTGCTAAAATAATCAGTATAGGCATACCTCATTTAATTGTGCTTTACTTTATTGCATACCATAGATATTGGGCTTTCTATAAATTGAAGGTTTTGGTGATCCTGCATTGAGTAAGTCTAACAGCATATGCTCACCTTGTGTCTGCTACATTTTGATAATTCTCTCAATATTTCAACCTTTTTCATTATTATTATATATATTATGGTGATCTGTGATCTTTGATGTTACTGTTAAAATTGTTTCGGGGTGCCATGAACCACACCCACTTAAGAGCACACCCACTTAAGAATGCAAACTTAATACATATTTTGTGTGTTCTGACTGCTCCACTGACCAGCTGTTCTCTCTCTCTTTCCTGGGGCCTCCCTACTTCCTAAGATACAACAATATTGAAATGAGGCCAGTTAATATTCCTACAATGACCTCCATGTGTTCAGGTGAGAGGAGAAAGTCTCTCATTTTAAATCAAAAGCTAGAAATAATTAAGCGTAGTGAGAAAGACATATTGAAAGCTGAGGCAGGCTGAAAGTTGGGCCTTTTGTGCCCAATTGTTAGCCAACTTGTGAATGCAAAGAAAAGTTCTTAAAGGACATAAGAAGTGCTACTCCAGTGAAAACATAAATAAGAAAGTGCAACAGCCTTATTGCTGATATGGAGAAAGTTGTAGTGACCTAGACAGAAGATTAAACCAGCCATGACATTCTGTTAAGCCAAAACCTAATCCAGAGCTAGGTCTTGATTCTCTGCAATTCTATGAAGGGCAAGAAATTCGAGGAAACTATAGAAGAAAGTTTGAAGCTAGCAGAGGTTGGTTTGTAGAGTTTAAGAAAAGAAGCCATTTCTACAAAATACAAGTGCAGATGAAGCAAAAAGTGCTGATGTAGAAGCTGCAGCAAGTTACCCAGAAAATCTAGCTGAGATCATTGATGGAGGTGGCTACACTAAACAACAGATTTTATTTTATTTTGTTGAGATGGAGTTTTGTTCTTGGTGCGATGGCGTGATCTCAGGTCACTTCAAACTCCGTCTCCTGGGTTCAAGTGATTCTTCTGCCTCATGTACCATCATGCCTGGCTAATTTTGTATTTTTGGTAGAGACAGGGTTCCACTATGTTGGTCAGGCTGGTCTCAAACTTCTGACCTCATGTGATCCACCCACCTCAGCCTCCCAAAGTTCTGGGATTATAGGCGTGAACCACTGCATCTGGCAGAGATTTTTCAATACACACAAAACAGCCTTCTATTGGAAGTAGATGCCTTTGAAGACTTTCATAGCTAGAGAGGAGAAGTAATACTTGGCTTCAAAACTTCAAAGGACAGGCTGAATCTCTTGTTAGAGGACAGTGCAGCTGGTGACTTTAAGTTGAATCCAATGCTCATTTACTATTCTGAAATTTCTTGGGTTCTTAGGAATTATGCTAAATATACTTTGCCTGTGCTCTATCAATGATATAGCAAAGCCTGGATGACAGCAAATCAGTTTACAGTATGTTTTACTAAATATTTTAAGCCCATTGTTAAGACCTACTGCTCAGAAAAAAAAAAAGATCCCTTTGAAAATATTACTGTTCATTGACAATGGACTTAGTCACCCAAGAGCTCTGATGGAGTTGTACAAGGAGATAAACGTTGGTTTAATGCTTTAACACAAAATCTGTTTGGCAGCCCATGAATCAAGAAGTAATTTAGTCTTTCAAGTCTTATTATTTAAGAGGTACATTTCATAAGGCTATAGTTGCCATAAATTAGTGATTCTTCTGATGAATCTGGGCAAAGTACATTGAAAACCTTCTGGAAAAGCACCTTCCTGATTCATGGGAGATCAAAATATCAACCTTAACAGGAGTTTGGTAGAAGTTGATTCCAACACTCATGGGTAACTTAGAGAGGTTCTAGACTTCAGTGGAGGAAGTAACTGCACATGTGGTAGAAATAGCAAGAGAACTAGAATTAGAAGGGGAGCCTGAAGATGTGACTGAATTGCTACAATCTCATGATTGAACTTGAAACGATGAGGAGTTGCTTCTTATGGATGAGCAAAGAAAATGGTTTCTTGAGGTGAAATCTACTCCTGATGAAGATGCTGTAGATGTTGCTCAAATGGAAACAAAGGAATTAGAATATTACATATACATAGTTGATAAAGTAGTAGCAGAATTTGAGAGGATTGACTCCAATTTTGAAAGAGGTTCTACTATGTGTAAAATGCTATCAAACAGTAACACATGCTACAGAGAAATCTTTTGTGAAAGGAAGAGTTAATCCATGCAGCAAACCTCATTGTTGTCTTATTTTAAGAAATTGCCAGGCCAGGTGCAGTGGCTCATGCCTATAATCCCAGCACTTTGGGAGGCCCTGGAGGGCGGATCACCTGGTCAGGAGATCAAGATCAGTCTGACCAACATGGGGAAACCCCATCTCTACTAAAAATACAAAATTAGCCAGGTGTGGTGGTACATGCCTGTAATCCTAGCTACTCGGGAGGCTGAGGCAGGAGAATCGCTTGAACCCAGGAGACAGAGGTTGCAGTGAGCTTAGATCATGCCATTGGACTCCAGCCTGGGCAACAAGTGCCAAACTCCATCTCAAAAAAAGAAAAAAAAAAAAAAGAAATTGCCACAGCCATCCTAACCTCCAGCAATCACCACCCTGATCAGTTTGCAGTCATCAACAGTGAGGCAAGACCCTCTACCAGCAAAAAAATTATGACTTGCTGAAGGTTCAGATGAACATTAGCATTTTTTAGCAATAAAGCTTTTTTTTCTTTTTTGAGACAGGATCTTGTATTGTTGCCCAGGCTGAAATGCTGTGGCATGATCATAGCTCACTGCAACCTCTACCTCCCAAATTCAAGTGATCCTTCCACCTCAGCCTCCTGAGTAGCTAGGACCACAGCATACACCACCATGCCTGGCTAATTTTTAAATTTTTTAGAGATGAGGTCTGAGCATGTTGCCCAGGCTGGTCTCAAACTGCTGGGCTCAAGTGATCCTCCCGTCTTGGACTGCCAAAGTGCTCGGATTACAGGCATGAGCCACTACTCTGTTCTCGGACTAATAACATATTTTTTAATTAAGGTATGCACATTGCTTTTTAGATATTATGCTATTGCACACTCAATAGACTAGAGTATATTGTAGACATAACTTTTATATACACTCGGAAACCAAAAAATTGTGTGACTTGCTGTAATTGGGATATTTGCTTGCTTTATTGTGGTGGTCTGGAACTGAACGCACAATGTCTTCAACTGTGCCTGTACAACATACTTTATACTTTGGTGTTAAATATTTCCCTTGACTAAAATTCTATCCTAATTTATTAACATAGATGTCAAAATGTCTGTTTTTATTCTGAAGCATCACCAAATACAGAGGTTACTTAGTCCTCTTCCTCTCAACTCCCATTACCCTAGCCTGGCCTCTCTCCCTTTCTTACACACACACACACACACACACACACACACACACACACGACTATGAAATCTAAAATCTTCAAAAATTCTCTGGAGTCAGAATATATATCAAGGCAGCAGTTAAGAGCAATTACAGTATTCATTTTAAAACACCAAGAAATTCAGCCACGTTTGAGGCCTTAAGTACAAGGATGAACATAGAAATGACAATGAATTTTGCCCAGTAGTTTTCATAAGTGAATGTCTGGGAATAAAGAACTGAAATTTCACTCTAGCTGATCTAGCTAAGAAGATCTAAAAGGAATCCTGAAATGATCTATTGGGAATTTATTCAGGTATTGATAGAGAAATGTTACAGGAATGTCCAAGTCCATTGTTTCTTACCTGTGGAGTCTAGTCTGTCAGTATCATAAACTGCCTGGCTGTGAAACATCCAGAAGTGTCCGTTGTTGCAGGAAAGAAGGCAGGAACTACATGGAACAATCACATGATAACCTACAATGTTCCCACTAGAAAAGAAAGTAAATGTTACTAGCTACCATGTAATACCTGGCCAGATAAGTCTTTTTATGTGCTTATATAAATAGATAGACCATATTATTTATATCTCATTTTCTCCTAACAACTTTCATTGCTGGAATCTTTGCGAGAGGATGAGGGTGCAGCTCTACCATCAGGTGGGAAAGCAGTCTTTAAGTGAATAGTAACATATACTCACATTTCTTTGCTAGTATTATTATTATTTATTTTTGAGACAGTTTCCCCCTTACTGCACAAGAGTGCAATGGCGCCATCTTGGTTCACTGCAACCTCCACCTCCTGGATCCAAGCAATTCTTCTGCCTCAGTCTCCAGAATAGCTGGGATTACAGGTATGCGCCACCATGCCCAGCGAATTTTTGTATTATTAGTAGAGTACGGGGTTTTACCATGTTGGCTAGGCTCATCTCAAACTCCTGACCTCAGGTGATCCACCCGCCTTGGATTCCCAAAGTGCTGGGATTATAGGTGTGAGCCACCACACCTGGCCTGCTAGTATCATTTTATGCATTCTTCCTTCAGAAGTTAGCGTCTAGATGCCATAAGGTTGTGATTTGTTCTATAAACCACCCAAATTGATGTGCTGTTCAGACAAAATAAATTAAATAAACTCAGTTCTGTGGGTAAAGGTTTTTGCTAGCCCAGGACTGTGGTAAGTTGGGTTCTGACATGTTCTAGTTTCATGCCAGCACCTAAAAACTGTTTCAACAGATGGAGAGGTAGGAAGACAGCATGAGTCCCTGTAAACCAAATACAAGCTGGCTGCTCTAATTTTAGTCACAGTGTTTTTGAAGGAATTCAGAAATAAAGCAAATCTACAGCCTCTAGAGAAAGTTGCAAAAGTTTTTACAGTTTTCAGAATTATCCAGCTGATTATAAGTATCTCACTCTTTCACATTTTTTTTTTAACTAGCTAGTCACATATTAAATAGAGTGAACCTACAGGGAATGTTTTAGCTAGTACTTTAAAAAAAATGGCAACATGGACCGTTTATACCTCGAGTTGTAAAAATTCTTACTGTAGCTTAGTCTTACTCTGTGAGATTTGAAAGTTAGTCATTTTTATGAGACCTTATAAAGATTACTATAAAAGATACCAGCCCACCTAAAATATGCCTTCTAATTATAACTGGCTTGAAAGACAAACAAATGAAAACAAAAGTTGTTTTTGGACTAGGACTGACAGTTAGTTGTAAGACTACATTGCAAGGTAAATTCCATGGTTTAATTACCACCTATATTCATTCATTCATCCATTGATTCATCATTTAACTAACATTTATTGAGTACCTACTATTTGCCAGGCACTGCTCTAGGTGCTAGGAATACAGTGGTAAACAAAGCCCTTGTTCTCATGGAGCTAACATTCAATTTTTGTATGTTTTTGTAGAGATGAGGTCGCAGCATGTTGCCAAGGCTGGTCTCAAACTCTTGGGCTCAAGTGATCCTCCTGCTTTGGACTGCCAAAGTGCTGGGATTATAGGCATTAGCCACCACTCTTGGCCCAATAACGTAGATTAGATCATTCTGCTCCCTTGTTAAAACCCCTTCGATGGCCAAAAATGAAAATAAAACCCCCTCCATACCAAGGTCTAGATCTATGCTATCAAAAATAATAGCCACTAGACACATGTGGCTGTTGGACACTTGAAATAGGGCTGGCCTGAATTGAGATGTGCTGTAAGTGTAAAATGTACACCAGATTTCAAAGAGTAAGAACAAAAAATGGAATGTAAAATATTACATTAGTAATTTATGTGGGTTACACATAATTTAATTTAATGGGTTACACATTAAAATAACATTATGGATACACTGGGTTAAACAAAATATGTGATTAAAATTAACTTTCCTGTTTTGGCTTTCTTTCGAAAATGTTGCTGCCTGGGCGTGGTGGCTCACACCTGTAATCCCACACTTTGGGAGGCTGAGGCAGACGGATCACCTGAGGTCAGGAGTTTGAGACCAGCTTGGTTAAAACAGTGAAACCCCGTTTCTACTAAAAATACAAAAATTAGCCAGGTGGGCTGGGTGCGGTGGCTTATGCCTGCAATCCTAACACTTTGGGAGGTCGAGGCGAGTGGATTGCCAGAGCTCAGGAGTTCAAGACCAGCCTAGGCAACATGGTGAAACCCTGTTTCTACCAAAATACAAAAAATTAGCCAGGCATGGCAGTGCATGCCTGTACTCCTAGCTACGTGAGAAGCTGAGGCAGGAGAATCATTTGAACCCAGGAGGCGGAGGTTGCAGTGAGCTGAGATCGTGTCATTGCACTCCAGCCTGGGTGACAGGGCAAGACTTTGTCTCAAAAATAAATAAAACAAAATGCTATTACTAGAAAAATTTAAATTTTATATGTGGCTTGCATATTTCTATTGGACAACACTGCTCTAGATTATCTGGGTTCTGACTACGTCTCTAACCTACTCAAACTACTCTCCCTCCATGTTCACATCTTAGCCACACCAACCGTCATCTTTCATTACTTGAACATGTCTAACTTCTCTTTGCCATGAGTTCTTTGCATCTGCTATTCTCTCTGACTTTTTATAACAAGACTTCCATGACCATGATATCTAAAATAGCTCTCAATTTCTCAACTTCCATAATTCTCTGTCTTTTATTATTATTATTTCTTTAGGAGTACTTTCCACCGTATTAAATATTTATTTAAGTACCTTATTGATTGATCATCTTCCCACTAGAAAATAATGTCCAAAGCTCAGTAACTTCATCTAGTTTTTTTGTTGTATTTCCAGTCCTTGTAACAATGACTAGTACATACTAGTTCCTCAATATAAGTACAGCTTGAATAAATGAAGGAATGAAATCAAACAGCACATAAGAAGAATTTGCCAATTTAAATTATTAGGATTGTCAGTTATAATGCAAACCTCATCTAAACACAAACCCCATCTAAATGAGAACATCTCAACTTTTTACCTCCTAAAATGACAATAATAACATGTCTGTTACTCCTCAAAATATTATAGTAATAGTTCTCAGCTGTGTTGTAATTAATAGTTTATTGAGCCTTTTAACATTCATGTTTGATCTTTACAATAACTTGATAAGGTAAATACAGAAAATTATTAAATTTCTATCTTAATAAGAGAGAAATTAAGTTAAGATGCAGTGGCTCACACCTGTAATTCTAGCCCTTTGGGGAGCTGAGGAGGGAGGATCATTTGAGGCCAGGAGTTTGAGATCAGCCTGGACAACAGCAAGACCCTGTTGCTTCAAAAAATAAAAAACTTAGCCAAGCATGGTGGAGCTTGCCTGTAGTCCCAGCTATGCAGGAAGCTGAGGTAGGAGAATCACTTGAGCCCAGGAGTTCAAGGTTACAGTGAGCTATGATCATGCCACTGCACTCCAGCCTGAGCAACAGTACAAGACCCCTCTAAAAATAAAAAAAGAATAACAACATAAAAATTAAAATAAGAAAACAGAGGTTCATCAGTTTAGAGGCTTAAGGAGTTCAGCCAAGTAGGGTCAGACCTCAAACATGATTTTTATTATTGTAAATCCAAGTGTTTTTTTCCCCTAACCTACATTGCCTTGTTCTGAAAGTTCATGCAAATACTGTGAATGTACTTTGAAAATTGTAAAATTATATGCTAACGTGAAGCATCACAAAATGCTTTTAAAAAATAGTTCTAAGTAATAAATGACTTTTCAGTGGCTCATTGCATGCTTTTTACCAGTGCTTGTTGCAGCCCACTGAACCTTTCTCTATGCGTTGGTGTCAATATCCATCTTCCAAACCCAAGGTTATCCAGAATAGTGCCACAAATTACCATTTTAAACATGCGATGTCCTTCAGTTTACATTTGCAGATCTTGGTGAAATAGCATCGTCCAGTGAAGTCCACTGCGCTGGAGAGAGAAAGGTATAATGATAGTCAAATGTACTTCACCAAAGTTTATCTGTGGCAAAAAATTAACAAAATTTACCAACCATTTTTATGTGTACAGGGCAGATGTATTAAATAGAATCAAACTGTTACATAATGAATCTCCAGACCTTTTTCATTTTGCAAAACTAGAGCTCTATGCTAATCAAATAACAACCCACAGGTTCCCCTTCTCCCAGCCCCTGGCCACCACCATTATACTTTCTGTTTCTATGATTTTGACCACTTTAGATATCTAAGAGGAATCATATAGTATTTGTCTTTTTGTAATTGGCTTATTTCATTTAACATAAATTCCTCAAGTTTCATTCATATTGTAGTATGTGACAGGACTTTCTTTTTTTAAAGAGTGAATAATATTCTATTGTATGTATATACCTCTTTTTTGGGGGGGAAGGGGGACAGTCTTGCTCTGCTGCCAGGCTGGAGCGCAGTGGTGCGATCTTGGCTCACTGCAACCTCTGCCTCTTGGGGTCAAGCAATTCCATTGCCTCAGCCTCCCAAGTAGCTAGGACTACAGGCGCACACTACCACACCCAGCTAATTTTTTGTATTTTAGTAGAATCGGGGTTTTACCATGTTGGCCAGGGTGATCACGAGGAATGACCTTGTGATCTGCCCATCTTGGCCTCCCAAAGTGCTGGGATTATAGGTGTGAGCCACCGTGCCTGACCTTTTATTTATTTATTTTTTTAAGAGACAGTGTCTTGCTGTGTTGCCCAAGCTGGACTTGAACTCCTAGGCTCAAGTGACCTTCCTAACTCAGTTTCCCAAGTGGGTGGAACTATAGGCACCCTATACCACATTTTGTTTATCCATTCACCTGTAGAGTCAATGGACATTGGGACTGTTTCCATCTCTTGGCTACTGTGAATAATGCTATTAATGAACATGGGTATGCAAATTATCTCTTCCAAGATCCAGCTTTGAAGTCTTTTGGCTATATACCCAGAACTGCTAGATCAGATAGAAATTCTATGCTTGATTTAGCACAAATATTTCCAATCCAAAGAGCTGAAAAAGACTCTAACATAGAAGTATATTTTTAAAGAGTCAGTTTATATTTGCGAGCTCACCATAAACATGACAAATTTTCCATTTAAAAAATTTTTATGTGTTCATTGATTCATATATATCTTAGCATGTTAATTCATCACTATTTTAACCCCTAAAAAGAAGAGCAGAAAATAAGAAAAATCTGATTCTATTCTAGACTTGGGTCTAACCCCTAACAATTCACCCAGTCTTCCTTATGACTGCCTTATTACTTACCACAGCTATTGCAAATATGAATGGGTTAATATTTTAAATTTATATATGAGCTTCTAAAAAGAAAAAGCAGTGGACAATGAATCATAGAACTCTGTAGTAATAGGTTCTATGATTTATTGTCTAGTGTTTTTCCTTTTTTTGCAATACATATACAATGTACATACAAAAACTTAAAATATTAATTTTAAAAAATTAAAAAGATTTAAAAATAACCCATTTATCTCTGCAATAAATGAGAGACTTTGGCTTTGCTGATAGGCATGATTATACTTAGACGAATTCAGAAAAGAATTCAAGTAAGGAAGAGTACATGGCTTTACCTGAGTAAATTAAAAAACTTGTAAAGCTTCCATCATTATCATAAAATTCATTTAAAATGAATTATGGTTATTAGCCTGCTTCCTCTGGCTCTATATCCAAAGATTTAGAGAATAACTGTCCACTCATAGTTTCGATAATTACTTTCCTTTTAATAATAAAATTTCAATAAAGAACTAAATCTTGAAGATTCATGTAGGGCATATACATGTTGACTATGGAAAGAGAAAATACCATTTAGAGCTAGAAAAAGGTTACTTGAGTCAAATAAAATGGCTATTTACCAAATAGGAAGCAAATTCTTAAGGACTCTACACCCAAAAGAAGTTAGCGGCTGAAAACAAACAGATTTTAAAAGGGTTCAATTATGAGAACAAATGTGTAATATCCAAAATAGGCTTTATGGGAAATAAGGATTAAGGCTAAGTCTCTATTTTTCATCCCATAAAAATCGATTTACATCTCTTTCAGAGAGAAAGAGTTTTGAGGATAAAACTGAATTTGATGAACAACGGATCTGATTCAGGATGCCAATTGCAAATAATTGTATTTTTTTTTTTCTGGTGCAAGATTTCATGGATAAAAATGAAAAACTTAAATATCTCTCCTCTCCAACAGTACAGAAAATTTGCCTGAATTTACGTAGAGTCTAGGTCATGGACTTGATTCAGTGAAATAGGATGGTTGGGCACGGCACTGAACAGGGATCAAACTTAAGAGATGTGTGGTCGCATGACTGTAATTGAATTAGAAGTATTACATCAGGACTGACCACATTGGCTAAACCACAGACTTTGTCCAGACAGTCTGCCCACTTAGATATATTCCAAGGGGATCATCAAAATGTTGGGAGTGGCTGGAAACGATAACCTCCTTGTTGACTCCCAGAGATCCAAGCCATAGTTTTCCCATTTAGTTAAAAGCTACCGTTGCCCGCCTCTAGCATGACTTACTTGGTAGGAGGGATGTCTGTAGAGAAAAGGTCTATTTCAGTATCAGCCAGCAAAACAGCCTTCATTCCCCTAGAGCTGAGCACTTGTTTACAGAATTTGCAACACAGGATGGACACGCACCGGTCCTTGAAACTACAAATGTTGGTAGTCATGGCGTCGCAGGAAGGATGAGGTGTAGGATGTTGAAAAAGGAAACAAGAGCAATTGCTCCTACTACTTTGATTTCCCTAGGCTAAAAACCAAGTTGCGAGACTTCGAGCTTCTCTAAGCCCTAAAACTGGGAAGGAAACGAGTTCTTTTCTGTTTTCCTGGTGGAGGAGCAGAAGCAAAATTTATTGAGTAGAAACAGGGGAGCGCGGCAAACTGGCTTTCCTTTTAACTTTCGGAGAAGGGAGTGGAGTTTGAATTGGAGAGGAGGCGGGTGGGGTTTGAAACGAACTTCTCAACAGCTTTCCCTTTCTCCTGTCTGAAGGAGTCCTCTACCCCTGAGCTCCCGCCCCTTCACAGCAATTCCCTCAGCCTCCTCCGATCGTCTTTTATTTAAAGCTTCTCCTCTTTTAAGACGTCCCTTTCCCAGCGTTAAGCCCCTCCCCTAGAGCGCTCCCGTTCCCAGCTCAGGGATCTCGGGCTTAGCGTCCCTACCGCGCCTCCTCTTCCCAGGATTCAGGAACTCCCTTCGCTCTTTCCTCCGGGAGGTCCTGCGTTCTCCTCCGTCCCGCCCCGCTCTCTCCCGGACCTTGCTCCGCTCTGCGGGTCCGCGGGCCCCTCTCCTGGCAGTCCCCAGCCCTCAGCGTGCTCGCCCTCGCGCCGTTTCTCTCGTGTCCTCCCTCCCCTCAGCTGTCCCCCGTGCCCCCGCAGTCCTCTCAGGTCTCTTCCCGGAGCAGCCGTTCCCGGGCGCGAGGTGGTGTTGGTGGGGCAGAGCTGAAGTCGCTTTTGGGGCTCAGTCGGCGCCTGGGTCTGTCACCGAACACGTTGGTTTTTGCTCCCTCTTCCGCTTTTCCTGTCTCTCCAACCTGGTGTCAGTTTGAATTGCCAGCGCCGCGCACCGATTGGGAGAACTAGAGCTCGCCTCCGTCCCGCATTGGCAGGCTCCGCGGCCTCCCCTGCCGAGAGCTAGTGGCTTGAAGGCTATAGGCACCGCCCCAGTAACGGTGCTGAGATCAGCTCGGCTTTTTGGTTGGCCGAGCTTGGCTCCGCCTCCGATCTCATTGGCTGGCTTCGGGAAGTTTCGGCAAATCCTCCCTTAGCCCTGGAGAAAGTGGCAAGGCACGCCCTTCCCGTTTCTTATTGGAAGAGAATTTACAGTCCCCGCCGTTCTCTACTCTCTATTGGCTATAATTCTCCGCAACACCCCCTCTCTACCCAGGCCCAATTGGCCATGCCTTCGCTCAAGAGTTTGTGTTTGGTGGTCCGCTCCATCTTAATCCCGCCCATCAGTTCTACCGAAGGGTTCGACAACCTGGGGTGGAGCTTAATCTGTGACCACGCCTCAACAGCGCTAGTCACACCTCCAAGTTTTGCCAGCTCCTCCCCCTCATTCCGGGCCTCTCGGGATCAGCTCTTCCTATTGGCTATAGGCCCCATCGGTCGATAGAAAGCGGGCGGTGATTGGTAAAGGGGCGGGATCTGGTTCCCGGCGGGGTCCTGCAGAGTTGGCGGAGGCTCCTCAAGGGACTGGGGCACCGATCTGCGTAGAAGCGGGTGGCGGGGAAGAGAGGGGAGGAGAGCTCTGAGTGGGAAGCGGAGCCGGGGGCCTGGGACCCGTCGCGTCAGAGCCAGGTAAAGGCTCCTTCCCTCTTCCTTTTCTCCCTCCTGGCCGCCGGGCTGGAGCCCTGACTGAACAAACCCGGGCTGGGGCGGGAAGGAGAGGGCGCGGATGCTGCTCCCGGCATCGCCTTAGCGGTGCCGCCCGGAATCCCTCAGACCGCCCCTCCACCCTCTCCAAATCTCCCAGTACAGCCCATAATACTTCTCGGGACTGCGAGTCTCTCCGCCCATCACTGTGCAGCCTGGGACTCTGTCCTGGCTCACCCACCGAAGCGCAGCCCGCACCCAGCCGCCTCCCCCGTTCCTCTGCACACGGGCAGCCGCGGTCCACCGTGGGGCAGTAGTCGTTGGCATCGCGCGTAACCATCGGCTGGCCTCCTTCCTTGCCTCCCAGCCTTGGCGGACAGCCGCGATCCCAGCCCAGGACCCAGGAGGATGGGTGTTCCGTGCAGCTTCCGGGGCTTTCCCCCAGTTCCACCCCTCGGCCTGCCGCGGTGGACTTCTCTTCGCCCACTCCCATTCCTAGACCACATCTCGGTCCTCACAGTTCCTAACATCCTCGCTCTTCACGCAACATCGCGGCCCAAATGATCGTCCCCAATGCCCCTCACCCCAAAGGCAGCCTTCTTGCCCTCTCCCGCCTTCCGAGCGTGTGCCGCTCCAGTTGTCCCCGGGCTCCCTTCCAGCCTCTGGACCCTATCTCACACCCGCCTCCCGCTTCCTGCCCGCCTGAACCCTGCCGCCTTTGCTCTCTGTCTTACTTCCTCAGCGTGGCCCCTTCCTCCAGCCGCGAGAAGTGGGAGACGCTAGCGGGAGCTTCCTCCTCCCGGCGCTCGGAGGAAAAGGAACAACCAAGGAGGAAGGGTCGCCGCTGCGGCACGCGGGGGAGCTAGACGCCTGGCTCCGCGCTTCGGCTCGCGTCCCTCCCGCTTCCTGGGCCTCGACCGAGTTAGGATCTTCTCGGGCACCTCCTGGTGCGAGGAGTGGGGACTGCGACCTCACCAACCTGCCCCCATCCCCAGCCTGGGATTGGGTGCGATATCTGGGATCTCTCGGCTTGGGTGGCAAAAAAATATTGAGGGTGGCATTTATAGTCGCTATCGTCCCTAACTTGGGGGAGGTGACGGCTGCCTTCCGCTGGTTCCCCCTCGGTTTTCCCAGCCCCGACCCTATCCTCTAACCCGTTTCCTGCTTCAGCTGACCACATTGTTTTCCTGGATGTGTCCCGTGCCGAGGCTTTTTCCTGCAGATTTGCCACCCCTCCGCACCCCCCGCCTCCGCCCCGCCAACATTTTGCTGCCAAGAGAAGCCAGTAACCAAACACAAAACAACTGGGAGGAGGGGCGGGAGGGGAAGAAAAGTTGTGCCCGGGTGGCTTGTCCCTCCCCGGCTTTGATCCCCTTTGATGTCCAGGGAGGTGACTCAGCCGGGGGTCTGGGACCGAGTCGGGGGCTTAGGTCGGGAGGGCTCCCTCGGGCTGGCAGCTGCCCAGCGCCGGCGGAGCTTGGGAGGCCACCGAAGTGCCGCAGTCCCCGCCCGGTGCCCCGCGTTCCTGCAGTCCCCGCCCGGAGCCCGCGCAGGCGGCTGCTCCAAAGTGTTTTCTTTCAGCCTTAAAACAAAATCCGGAGGGAGCTTCCTTCCTCCCCATCTCGCAGCGCCGGGCTCTGCCGACCCGGCGGCGTTTGGAGGGCTGGAATGGGCCCCGGGCGGGCTCCGAACTACGTCCCCTACCCCACCCCCGCCGTGATTAGGATCTGCTCTCTGGCTGATCGCCCCCTCCCCCTTTTCCTGCATTTACAGGCAAGTGAACCGGAGCAAACGACTTCCGATCCAGTCCGCGCTGCTGCGGCTCCCGTTTGGGATTTGATTTGCAGCATCTTCGAGCCTCTACGACAAAAAACCGCGAAGCACGCCCAGCCCTCCCCCGGCACCCCGAAAAGCACCCACTCCCTCCCGGGGACACAGCTGGGCGCGTCCACACCCCCGCAGCCCCACACCATGTTGTGCGGAAGGACTTCCACTCTCCGCCTGTGTCGTTGATGTCAGACCCCAGGCCAGCCTCCGGGTGCTGCAGTTCTCCTGGCTAATGCTGAGGCTGCGGCTCCAGCTCTAGCACAGGCACCAGCCGCCGCGGCACCCGGCCCCAGCACCCACCGTCTGCATGTGCCCGCCGTAGCCGCCTGCCCAGCCCGCAGCCCGCGCTCCACGGAGCGCTGGAGACCACCGCGGGGTTGGGGGAGGGCTCCTCTGCCCTCTAGAGAAGCTGTCTTGGAGGTATTGATTTAGGTGGTTGGATTTTTTTCCGTGGATCTATCAATTCACAATTCGAATTTGGAAGAAAAAAGGAAAACATGACGTCTCCAGCCAAATTCAAAAAGGATAAGGAGATCATAGCAGAGTACGATACTCAGGTCAAAGGTAAGGGCTTTGAAAAATAGCACACTGCAAATGCTCTGTGGACTGGTGAGGCATGTATTTCCACCCTGATTTGCAGGCTGTTTATTTCTTTGGGTGGAGCAGATGGGGCAGGCTGACCCCAGAGGTGGTTTCATAGGTGGGTCTGAACCTCCAAAGGATGGGCAGTGCCAGGGGCTGCTGGCGCTGGAAAGGAATTTTTGGAGTGGGCTGTAGGAGTATCTTTGTGGGGCTGACCGTGATTTTGGCAGCCCTTTCCCCCAAGCTGACAGGGTCGGGGGAGGGGCAGGAGGCTCTTGGTGAGAGAAAGGCACAATTTGCCTCCGGTTCTCTGGGTCAGATTTCCTTCAAAGACAGCTGAAATCTGACAGGTGTTTGGACATTTATTTCAGGGATCGAAGAGGAGTCCAGACAGAAAGGCAACCTTGAGAAGGTGTACCGTTTGGAGACCCTTGGGAGAGATAGGGTTTTTCTGAGGCACTATATGAAAACATGAGATTTGCTATGGCACTGGACTCCAAAAGTCCATTGCTACCTTGGATTTACCTTGTACCTGTCTGGTCTCTGGTCAGCCTGCATACAATCAGAGATCAGAAAGAATGACAGAATATCAGAAAGAATATCAGAAAGAATAAGGCTACACACGCTCGGTCTCCGCCCTCACCTAAATCTGAATAGAGTTCGGAGGATGTTAAGGTTGCTGGTTGGTGCTGATTCTGGAAAATGGGAAGACATAATTGTTTAACCCTTCTGTGCTGTGGCCCTCTGCTCCAGAAGACATGCTTTTAAAGCCCCATTTTCCTCTCCGGAAAAATGTGAAGGGTAAAGCAAAATGTAGTCTTGGAGAAACCAAGTGACCTATCTCCTTATCTTGTCGACTGTCTGACTTGACTCATGAATAAGAGCCCTTACTCAGATAGTGTTTTTTAAACCAGCAATTCCCATAGGAAGGGTTCCTGCCTGTTAAAGAGCTGCAGCATGTGTTTGTGCAAGGCACTGTCCTTTCCTGGTCAGTCACTGGAAAGAGCCATGTGGCTCCAGCCCATTGAGACCTTAGCTAGGGAGTGGAAGAGGTGGGTGGCCTTGAATGTTACACCACATGGTTGGAGCTCTGGGTTTTCCTTTGTTTCAGAGTACAAGGGAGGGGCCCCTCCTTTCCCTGCACCAGTGCAAGGAGACCTTTTCCTATCAGAGAGGACTTGAGAAGGGCCATGTCTCCCCTTAAATGATTGCTGAGGGGTGGGGGTAGGGGTAGAGTTTGAAATGGGCCAGCTCCCTTATCTCTTGGGAGGTTGGAAGGTTGTCTAAAGTCCTCATTGTACCTACAGGATCTTTTTTATGTCATTAGTTTGGTCAATGCTGGAGGTGCCCTAAGGGGCCTTCTATCCACTTGGCTGCAGATATTGGTAGGTTTATTACAGAGATGGGGGAGTTGACTGATTGATAGCTTCAGTTGAACTGGGATTGAGAGAGGTGTGGTTGTGAGCTATAATTGAGGTCCTGGCCTCTTGTCACTGTTCATAATCCAGGCCTGTTTTTGTAAACAATAGGCCACTGGCCTTCGTGTCCTGCCCAGATGCATTGCAATTTGCTCTTGGAATCCCCCCTGCAGTCTTAACCAGATATGTCTTTTTTTTTTTTTTTTAAAACACATCCTATTCTTAAACTGTTGCCTTCAGGAGTGTTAATAACTTTGATCTTCCCAGATTTCTCTCCAGAAGCATGCCATTTGACTAAGGTGCAAAGTGATTTTAAATGTTTATTTTTTGGAAGGTTCAAGGCTGATAGGTGTTAATAGAACTGTATCAGCCAATTTCTTATTGGCAAAGGATTTCTTAAGAGTGTCTCAAAATTAAACACTTTGGATATTTACAAACATTGCTCATTGAGATGATGTAATGCAGTTGGCTATTGGGGTTTTCTCTTCAACTGTGCCACAGCATTAGACTGTTTTGCTTTGCTCTGATATTTTTCCACTGATACTATTCAGGATCATAGAAATTGATCCCGAATGCTCAACGTGGCTAAGCATGATGTCTTACTCTGAGATGGTGCCTGATGAATGCTTATGGAACTGATTTGAATAGTTTAGTCCTTCATTTTACAGCTGAGGAGAACACAGAGAACTGAAGAGGCTTGTCCAAGGTCACACAACTAGATGGTGGCATATCTGAAACTAGAAGCAGATTTACCAACTCTCAATTCCCTATTCTGTATCTTTACTGTGAAACATCATCTGACCAGGGTGAGAAAACATGAAAAACTCTTAAGGAGTCCAAATCTGTCAATGAATAATGGTAGTAATAATGATCATGATAATGATAATAGTATATTACATTTTGGTTGCTCATTACGTTCCGGTCTGTCCCAGGTGCTTTAAATGAATGGTCTGGTTTAATCCTCACATCAACCCAGGAAGTGGGTATTATTGTCACCTTCCATTCACCATATAAGGAAACTGAGGCTTAGAGAGAACAAGAAGCCCTTCTAAGGTCGCACAGCCAAACCATGGCAGCTTGACTTTGTTCCTTTTTTCATTAACTATTTATTGAGTGCTTACTATGTGTTCTGGGGACTGGCAATACAGCCGTGAAGAAGAAAAAGTCTCTACCTTGTGGAGCTTATATTCTGGAAGCTAGGCTCTTTATGGAACAGCACAAAATTTGGAGACAAAGGGCCTGGGATCTGGGTTGGCTCTGCCCCCCACTAGCTAGAAGCCCTGGGTCAGAAATATTATGAGTGTCAGCTTTTTATGTGTTATATGGGACTCATGGTGCTGCCAGACTTACTTCTCTTACAGATGCCAAGATAAAAAGAAAATTGCTATAACAGCTATGCAGTTTGGTTTGGTGGTTAAGTGCAATTTTTGAGTCAGAGGGATTCAGGTTTAAATCTTGGTTCTGCCAGTTGCTTGCCTTTCACTTCAGGCAAGTTACATGACTTGCCTAAGCCTCAGTTTCCTTATTTGGAAAATAGGTAAAATAAAATAGATTTCCTAAGGTAGTAGTGAGTTGATGATGAGATATATAAATGATTTAGAACAGTATCTGGCACTTGTAAGTGCTCAATAATGGTACGGTCTACTCCTCTGTGAGCAGGCTTTCTTTTGCTGAATTGGGCTGGCTATTGAGGCTGCATTGCATATTCGCTCCCAAAGAGTTCTAGTTTCAGTTCATCTAGTAGTAAGAAAAGATCTTGGGTCAGTCATTTAAGCCCTCTGGACATCAGTTTCTGTTTCTGTCAGTGAACAAGTCAACGAATTATTGGCCACTCACGTTCTACGTGTCTTTGACCAGACTCCCAGGTCCTGTTTTTTCAATCAGAATTGTTTGAGTCAAATGGACCCTAAATGAGACCCTCATCTCATGGGACCCTTTTGAGGACCTCTCTATCCCTTGCTTTTTGTTTCCCTATAAACCACCTGCTTGCATGTGCCCTGAGGAACTTCTGAGGCTTCAGTCCCAACCTTACCCCAGAAGGGTATTGTGAGGGGTGTGCCTCCTTAGTCAGCCTGCCTTGTAGTGTGTTTCTGATTTGTGGGTGCCCAGATTACTTTGAAAGTTAATGCCTCTCAGTGTCTGACTTGAAAGCAATAATATTCTTAGTCTTTTTACATAGCTCTTTCCAATTTACAATGCACTTTCATATGTAGTTGTCCCTGAGAATCCTCCAGGGATTGGTTCTAGGACTGGCCCCACTTCCAGGAGAGCAAAATCTGCAGATGCTCAAGTCCCTGATATATAATGGCGTAGTATTTGCATATAATCTATGTACACATATCCTCCCGTATACTTTAAATCATCTCTAGGTTACTTATTATACCTAATACAATGTAAATGCTATGTAAATAGTTGTTATACTGCTTTTAAAATTTGTATTATTTTAAATTGTTGTATTGTTATTTTTATTTATTTATTTATTTTTTCCCTGAATATTTTCCATTCCCATTTGGTTGAATCTGCAGATAGGGAACCTGCATGTGTGGAGGGCTGTTGTACCTTAATCTCTGGAAATTCTTTCCAACCCTGGTCAGATTCATGGTCATAACCTGAAGCCTTTAGGCTCTAGACTGTTAGCTTGTTGCTGGGATTGGAGCAGCAAAGGTGGTAAGGTGCAGGGCATGGTTACCAGAGCTGTGAATCAGGGTGGTATTTGGGTAAATACATATGACTGCATACATTCCCAGCTATTGTTCTTTCCTTATTTAAGGCTCCTTTCCTTTACCCTCTCTATACCTTGAGTTTTTGCAGCTTCCCAGAAAGCTTGAGATTGACAGTTCATGCAAATATTCCAGGAGAAATAGTCTCAAACAGAGTGGCACTGTATGCTGAGCAGTCAAATTTTTTTCCTTGAGTACATTAGGGGTCTTGTCTTTTTTTTTTTTTTTTTTTTTTTTTTTTTTTTTTTGGTTTTTTTTTTTTTTTTTTTTTTTTTTTTTTTTTTTTTTTTTTTTAAATCTTAGGAGAGCAGTGTGTGTGCACTGCAGAACTGGAAGTGAAATTTTGTAATTTCCATCTGGAGCATTTTGATAGAAAAAGCGCAGGCCTTTGCCTGGAATAGTTTAACGCTTTCAGGACCATTCAAGAGCAGGAGATGAAATTTAAAACTGGAGTCATATTGTGTGTGAGTATGTACTTGGGAATGCTGATGGCAGGTATTTAAACAACCTCTTTCCCCTGGGAGGTCTAAGCGATTCTTCATTCATGCCAACAGAGGTCTTCTCCAAAGCTTCTTTCCTCCCAGCCCCCATTCCCCAAGGGAGCTTTATATATAATCAGTTAATCAGTTTTAAATATAATCAGTGAAATATAATCAGTTTGAAAAGCTGCAGTAAAACATTTAGTTGAAATCCTCCAGCAGATGCTATCATCTTCCTGCAAGATGATTGAGGTCTCCTTGTCCCTTGCTCAGGGCGGGGGGAAAAAACCAAAAAGCTACTCTGCAGTAGTAAGGTGAACTCTTGGAAGAAAATGAAGCTCTTGGAAACATTCAAGTACCATACT